CTTCATTTTTTGAAGTAGGAAGATAATCTGTCCCCATGCCAAATTAGATGTATTTTGTTTCACATGCGCTTTGGCTTATTTATCTCCCAGGCATACATTAGATCTGTACATCTATTGTAGATAAATGTAGATCTGTTGTAGATCATTCTGTAGATCGAATGAACATACCAAAGAAACGGAAATACATGAAGACAATGTGTGAGAAAGTCTTATAAAAATCACAAGGTTTCTAAAAAAAAATCAAGCTTTAGTTTAGCTTTTATAAGAACAAAAATTATCAAATATAAAGTACCTTCCCATGTACCTTTCTGATCAAACCAACTCTGCATTGACCCTAAGAAAGGAATCTGTAACATACAGAAGTGATCTGGAAAAATGTGATACTAAATGATCCAGAAGTACTAACAATAGCAAGCTGCTTTGTAGTGGCTTAGTGCAATTTTCTCCTAAGCTACATACATTAAGGAAGCCGTGGCACTTCATACTGAATTTACAACTTAGCAAGCTACTGAACACATTACAGGTATTTCCAGTAGGCAGTACATGAACCTAAAACCCACATAAAACTAAAAATTATTGTGCTTTTCCAATAGGAAGTAAATGCAAGGGTGATAAACGATGCAGAATCCTCAGAAATGGTAAAACAAGAAAGTAACAGGATGGCATCAGCTGTTACTCCGCATAATTTAAGATATAATAGTAGTATAACTAAGGGTTTTTTTCAAGACAAAATTATTTGAATTTCATGAACATGACAACGTTGAAAAAAGGCTGACAAGCAGTCTAGAACACTAGATGATGGATTGCTGAGAAACATAATTTTCACTTTAATAGAACGATGGCATGCACATAATTCTATCCCCCAGTGCTTTGCTGTAACAGTGAATTTAGTCCAAAACTACAGGCTTGAGAATCTGAATACAAATCTATCACCACAGTTGGAGCGAGTGCTTCATTTGAAAGGTAAAAATTCTCTGTTCAATTAATTTGTTTAGAAATGTACAGTTTTGCTGCGTGGGCTCTGGCCAACATGCATCCCAAAAAAATGCCTGTTCTTGGTCCAGATGAAGTTAAAGACAATGCTTTCTTTTACTTCAGTTGAGACACAAAAAGGCCAATAAGTACACAGCTGGTACTTTATTAAGATGACATGCGCACATTCTAGTAACACCAGTTAATTTGGAACTGAGGGGAGAGGAGAAATTTATAAGAGAAAAATCAGTTACACTGGTTTACCATTTTGTGTTCACTAATGAACACCCTGATATATTTGCTCACCGCTGTAAGAAATGTGGCATACAAAAAAGTATTTCTCCCAGAAATGCTAACCTTGTATTTAGTCAAGCTAAAATAAAGTGAAATAATATATTTGACCTTCCTGGACTATTCTGAGGAAAAAATAACTCTTGACCTCTGACCAAATAAATAAATAAATAAATAAATAAATAAGACAGCAAACTCTTTATCCAGCAAATGAAGAAAAGGAAACTGTAGGACTGTATCCTTTGATATGTCTGTCAGTAAAAGTTTTTTCATCGAAACTACATTTCCAGGGGAAAGACCGTTCACAAATTGGCTGTTTCCAGAATTCACAGTTTAAAGTTTGGAGCCTGAAAAACTTCAACTACCAACATGCAGTTCCTTCTAAATGTCTCTATTTTTTTTCTAATAGAATTTAAGTGGAGATCTTATACTTTCCTTAAGTCTACTCTTATTAAATTTTGATGTTAAACAGAAAGGAGAAACCATGTGCAACTAGATTAATTTATCTCCAGGGAGTTAGGACACATTAATAATTGAGATAATGTTTTCATATATGTTGGAATCAAGTGTGCCTTTTCACTTCTTTATTAGAAAACACATTAGGGAAAAATTATCTCATTCTCATCAGTAAGACCTAATTGCTGAGAAAGTCTTTGTTTGCTTTGCAATAACAAAAGAATTATTCTCACTACATCAGGGAAAAAAAAAAAAAAGGAGATCAGAAATATTATCAAGCACTGCTGGAAAAAATGCCTGTATTACCAAAGAGAGTGTTTACTTAATACACCCAGTCCTGTTTTTGTTTTAAACAAATCAGAGTTTATTGTATTTTTATAAAATACAAGCAAACTCTGGATTGACTAGAAGTGGGCCAAAGGGGAAAAAAAAGCACTACAACAGAAAATGACTAATATTTTTGGCTTTCTGAAAGGCTTATCTTTCTGTAAGTTATAAAAAAATATCTTGGATGATTGTGAGAGAGCTCTATAATTTCACATGAACACCCATAGGTGTCAAGGCCTGTTGTGAGGTAATGGAATGGTATGTAATTTACTCTGAATTGATGTACATTATGCTGCATGGATTACATACAAAGCTAACATCGAGTGCATGGTGGGAACACTTATGCAGACGGACTGAAGCATATTTCCACAAGGTTGAGCTATACATCAAACGCCGTGCGTCTGATGTTTCCCACAACAAAGAGTTTAAAAAAAAAAAAGTCACTAAAGCAGTAACTATTCTTGAAAGTCTTTGCAATAGCAATTCTATTTCTCTGGTGTACACTGAAAACAAAGAACTGTAAACTAAAACAAATATCTATCAACTTGACTTTACAGTGCTGAGAGAAAAATGTTCAAACGTTATAGCAATACTAAGAAAGAGAAGTTCTCTCTTTAAGGTCCATCAAGACCTAATGCTAAATAACTGATCTGTAGATAGACTTGTATTTGCAGATATCTTTAAAATATTAGTGGAAAAGAATTGACTAAAGCCACAAAATTGTAAAAGAACAGTGGTGAGTCATTCCTTTTTCATTCTCAGTGATTTAATCCACACTCATATACCATATAGACTAAAAGAATACAGTCCATTCAGATACATACTTTCATTTGCTTTTATTTATTTTCATAGGTCAGGTTTCGTAAAATCACACACACTTTCTGATTACTTTCTTTTACTTTTTTTATTAAACATTTGTTCTGTGATAGATAAAACACACCAAATTGAAAGTCAAAACAAATGAGAAACAGCCAAAACTAAAGCTTAGAGTATGTGCTTCTTTGCTAACATTTTTTATCATTAATTCAAAACAGAAATAATTCAAGACCATTAGCTGCCCAACAATACATTAATAATAAATTAAATTTAATTATTATTTTTAAGATAATTCACTTAAAATACACACACTCTTTTTGCTAGCCAGCGGGAAATCTATGTTGTTGTGTAATAACAGAAGAAGAATCCCACAAAAAAACTCAGCTGAGACCTGCTGATGGCCTGAATCTGACATACACAATAGTACTATTTCTTATTTTTGCTTGACATCTTTTTGTTCTTTGCTTTTAGCTTTTCTTTCATTGTTTTAAAAGTTTTTAAGTTACCCTGAAATCTTACTAAAAATTCTTGCCTTTAAAAAAAAGATATTGTTAAGATTTGCAACTTAACTTGCATAAAACTGATTCACACTTAAAAAAATGATAATGTTTAAATATTTATGGACAATGTAAAATTCTCTGAGTCCATTTATATTATCTAAATTTCAATATTTTATGTAATCAGTGGATCTGGCAAGCTCATTTTACTACTGTATGTTCCATTAATTAGAATAGTCTAAATGACAGCACCCCTCTCAACAATTAAAATAAAGCCTCCAACATCAATATAGGGTGTCCCAGAAAAAAATATTTGATTAATAATATATCCCAGAATTCTCTCATGATAATCACTGGGTTTTGGTAGGAACAGATTTAAGACCAAACCATCAATATATACTATACAAGAGAAATTCCATCTCCATTGGAGACAGCAACAAAACTTCCTAAGGATTGCAAGTCATCCAGTTTTTCTGAGCACATTTGAGTGTGTTCTGAGACTGATCTTTTATTCTTTAATGTGAAAATCTGCTTGCCACAATGGTCCTTTGGGTAAAGACTTTGAGACAAAGACCTCAACATGTTATTTACTATTTGTTTGCATATAGGGAAAGTGTGGGGACTCCTACTCCACACCAGCAAAAATCTTTCAAAAATCCATCCACTTTTACTCTATACTCCCTGAAGACAGCAAAAACACTTCTTACATTTTCATGGACTCCCTCTATTCTGAAGATTCAGATTCGGTCTTGATGAGCAAATACCACCTGCAGATTTATGGACATGTTTCTATGACTCACTGTATAAGTTAGTCTAGAGGAGAGAAGAAGCTGCAGCTACAGAGGAACTGAGCAAATCTAAAAAAATCATATTTTTCAGCATAAATCAAAGAAAAAATGAATAGAAGATACCGGGAAGAAAGTAAGCTGTTTCTGGCATACAGGGATCATGCATTTTCCCTAGCAGTTATCACTGTTACCCTCTTTAAGACAGAGAAAAATATAAAAAAAAATTAAAATAAAATAAAATAAATCTGGGAGGATGTGAAAGTGGTTTTCACACAAAAGCACTGGAGGCATCATTAGGGGAATGCACAGTCAGTACAGGACCAGAGTTGAACTACACTGTGAACAAGCATTAATAGCTTCACTGTGCAAAGAGCAAGGCTGTAGAATAGACCCCTGCCCTTGTTTCAGTAGCTTTCTCAGACTGCCTGGGGCTCACAGTCATGGTGCAGTATGCCATCTCAACCCACAAGTGCTACTCTAAGATGACACAGCTGGTGCTGTGACCTGAGAGCTCCATCAGCTCTTGTTATTCAGGTCCAAATGTAGAAAGCACTGGGGTTTGTAAGCTTCAAACTTCTCTGGCCATGTCTCTCCACTCCTCATCACAGGATCTGCATCAGTGTAGTCTTCTGCAAACCACTGTGGTATCTGTGGTATCCACTGGTTTTCTGGCTACCTTTAGTGCAGCAAGGTTTTTGCTTGCACTGTTTACATTTCAAATCTGCTTGCTCAGCTTACTTAAATTGTGGGTTTGTTTGCTTTTTCCATGGCTAGTGGACAGTGCTAGTACTACATACAATTGCATTCCATGTCTACTTCAAAATGATCAAAGGAAGAAAAGATGATAACTTACTTCCCAGAGATGCTGAGTGTTCCTGATGGCACCTGCTTGAACCTTCTCTGGTAAGAGCAGGATTCCCTGGAAGGGCCCAATCCACGTGCCCTGCTGAATCCTCTGTGCTGCACAAATGCCATAGGCCAGGCCAGGCACAGTGCTGGTGCACAGACACACCTCCCGGGGCAAGTCCCGGAGCCACTCTGGGATCTCAGGTGGAGGGGCTGCTGCGGCTGCACTGCTGGTGCCCACCAGCCGGCGCAGGGAGTGGAGGGGCCCATGCATAGGGCACTCACCGTTGCGGTTGTCAGCACACATGTCACAGCCTGAGGGGCAAAGAGGGAAAAACACCATCAGTGTGGTGCTGCTGGCCACCACTATCACCAGTGCCACCGGCGAGACCATGCAGATCCCTGTGCTTTTCCTGCCTTTTCTCGGCAGCCCAGCACTCACAGACCGTGCCCCTTTGTGCGTTGCTTAGGATGGTTTTCCTAATCTCGCCAAAGCTCTAAATAAGAAAATTCCAAAGGCTGAGCAGAAACGCTGCAGACAATTTGCAAGCCTGGTATGATAACAGACCTGCCAAGACTCATTTATTTTAACTGAGTTTTTTAAGATTCGTTTTTGACTAATATAAATAGCTCATTTAAACCACCCCAATGTGTTTCAGCAAGACATTTTAAAGCACAGCCAGAGCGCCTTACTAGTCCCTCTCATTTGCCTCACCACAGCTCAGCCCAAGGGTTTAATTGAAACAGGATTTCATTTAATCCTTATTTTAAATGAACATTCACTCTGGTTTTCACATTAACATGTGTGTGCCTGCCTGCTTGTTTAGAAAATAAAATAAATAAACCAGAACCTCATGAATGACAATTTGGAGCATGCATGGACATTTACTTTCTTAAAGTCAAATCTAGTATTAAAACTGAAATGATGTAGCAAATATTACTGATTCCTAGCACACACATGAACGCTTTTTTTTATTGAATAGGAATGCATGTTCTTTGCCTGTTACATGTAGCTGAGGCTAAGGAAAAAAAATAAAATAAAACAACAAAAAACCCATCAAAAATGTTCCTTTTCCTAAATGTTTCAAGAACGGATGATATGATTCTATTTTGGGAAGATGCTACAATCATTTTCCTTTCCTGAGAAAACTTTGATTAAATGTTTCCACGGCACACTATTGCACATGCCATGAACGTACACCTTCCAGGAAAATGTTTCATGCTCAAGAAATCTGGAGATATGTTGAGTTAACAATAAATCAGTTGAAATAAGTTACTATCTTCTGCACATTTCACTTGTGTAGCACAATAAAGGTTTTCATATAAATTTATTCCAGAAACACAAAGAAAAAACAATAACTATGTCATATTACTCATGTAGCAAGTCCTACATCTTTCCCCTAATCATTTTATAGAACTTACACCCCTTCTTATAAAAACAGAGCACAGTATTCACCACAGAAGCTGGAGTTTCTTGGTCTATGTCACAGATTTAGACTTGCTAGATTGCCTGTAACCACAGCTTCAATTCTCAGGGGACCTGACTCAGATGTTCTTCTTTCTGAGGTGGATGTACTGTGTATTAAGTAGGCCTCTTTCCTACAGATCCTTCAAAGGAAAACCTTCCACTCAATTCAGTCAAACCTAGTAAAGGATAATAAAAGGCGTGTTTTCAAAATACGGCTTCTATGTGCATTCTCCAATTTCAGACATGCTAACTAAGCACTCTTTCCTGTTATCCTCTTTTAAATTCTATCATACAAAAATGCTGCATTCAGCAACATGAAAATATTTGTCACTTACATGTGGAAGCTTATTTCCCTCAAAATCATTACACCTTCTAGTCTTGGAGGAAATGCATGTCTCTACTTGTCTGTCCAAGTTCCCCACCAGTACCATCGATTACAGACCTTAGCAGAAAGCAAGCCATCAAGCCCTGAGTTGTGCGTTATTCCGACGGGTGCCCCTGCAAAAGAAGGTCTGCTTATGAAACTTGCCCCGCGCCATCCCTCCCCAACAGGTCAGGGCAGGAGGAACGAAGGAGAGGAGTCGGTCGGCATGGCAGGATAAAGCCCCCTAGTGGAGACCGCCCTTACGTTGGCAAAAACACAACCTCTGGTTGGAGGGTGAAATTTTGCCTTGCCTTAAAGACATACTCCCCGCCGCAGAACGACTCTTCTGTTAGGTTAAGCCGCAACTGCAGAAGGCTTTGCTCGCTCAGACACGTCAGTTAGAGATGGCTGGAAGATAAGATTTGCAGGACCCCAGGGAAAACGTTTCTGGCTGGTCCTGAGAGAAGATTATTATGCAGCAGATATTCCTACAGTCAGTTCCAGGCATGATGAATAAAAGGCAGCAAGTACATGCCGGAATTTATTATTATTATTATTATTATTGTTGTTGTTGTTGTTGTTGTTGTTGTTGTTGTGTTGTTGTTGTTATTATTATTTCCACAGCTATTTTGGAAAGTGAAGTATCACCACAACATCTTTTCTTCCCTCTCCTCTTCAAAACCAGTCATCAAAAACCTCTGTGTTTTTGGCATATCCAAAGATGCTAGGGGCAGCACTGGAGTTTGGCATTGGAGGTCACATAGGAAAGGATCTTAAATAGGAAAAGAGAAGAAAGAAAAATAAAAACCTAACCCACAGTCCCAAATATTTTGGCATGTGATACACTTTAAGCAGATTATGGTTGAACACTATAATCTACAGTTGGATTTGATGACTTTACAGATCTTTTCCAAACTAAATGGTTCTATGATTCCATGAATCTGGCATCTAACCATGCAAGTTAGAAACAAATCATCTGACAGGAAAACTGAGGACTTAAAGAGATGATGTCTAACAATTATGTCAATTAGCATCCAGGGCAAGTCCTTGATTTTGACCTGTTTGCACTCTTTGACCATCTTCTAGATGTGTAACTCCCCTCACAGCCACTCGATTACTAATAGCTTTTTTAGAGACACCACGTCTCTGGAGAAATTTGCATTAAACATTCTAAGGCATCTTCATGATGCCACTCAACTTCAGTGACAATTTCGTGCATCCTGACACAACATATATATCACTTTTAATGCACACATATGTACCTGCCCAGAACAAGAATTTCTTCAGTTTGTCCTGACAATATGTGGGCATGAGTGTGGCTTAAATATTTTATTTCTACATTTCCAAGAAAAAGAAACTAAGAAATTGTCGAGGAGTATAAACAAACCCTGTGTCACCGTCATTTATTACAGAAAGTCACACATGGTGATATTTATTTTCCACTGTCCAAAAACACTGGTAATGTCTTAATGCTTGGCAGCCACAGTATCTGATCCCCTGCTGTGTTCCTTTCTCTTTGTCCTGCCAAAGCCGAAAATTTGGAAAATGGAACATCTTTTGAAACTGCTTTGGCTAGTGGCTTGTTGATGAGGGGGGAAGAATCTGTCTTTAATACTAAGCAGTACTGAATTTCTTCTTAGTTCCATGTTTTATACATTTATCTTTAATCGTTATGCAATTGTACAAATAAAATTTTTAAAAATTCTCATAAATGTTTAAAGGAGTGGAACCCGTCCTAGACATATTTTACCATGCCTTGAGTAAAAAGGCTACTGTGTGTACTACTCCTCTTCTGCGAGTAACTTTTGCATAATACGTGGAAGCATCCATTTAAAGACTATCACTGTAGGCAATGGATTCCTTTGCGTCAGAGGACAAGGGAAAGATGTCAATATCAGATAGGAAGTAAAAGCAAGAACTCCGAGATTTGCTCACTACCCTGCCCCACAGGTAGAATAAACAGCATCATCTTCATGTTCGTGTATCCAGCAGAGAACAATGGAATACAATGCACCAACTCACTTAATAATACATGGAAAAAAAGAGAGGAAGGAGATGGAGAGGGGGAGTGTTGTGGTCCACTGACATTGCTGGAGTCTGCAGAGTGGATGGCAACCCATGCAGGTGCGGGAAGTACACATGAAAAAGGCACACTTGTATAAGTGTGGACCTTCCAGAGAACTTCCACACAGGGCAACAAGGAGAGATATACTGTACCCTTCCTCCTGTTTTGGCCTCGAAGAATAGTTTTGAGTGCAGGCCTTCTCCAAGGACAGATGAAATGAACATTTCTACTGCCTGTAATAGCATCAGTCAAGCCCTAAATCAAGCCAAGAAGCAAGAAATGTGAGAAAATTCAGGGATTTGTTGAAAATGGAAAAAGAAAGTAGGAGTGCAGCCAGAGCAGAGTGCCTCCTGATAAAATCTGAAGGTAGAAGGTAAGTGCGAACGCTCCACTGCAGGGCCAGATATGGCCAAACACTTTGGAAGGAGATCTGTCCCTCACTTAATACCTTCATACTCTGTAGACAGCAGGACTGAGGAAAGGAGGAAGCAAGAAAAAAAATTAAAGGATTTCCTTGTGGAGCTGTTTGATATGGCTCTTTTGAGAGAATTGCAATATGTTAGTGTTTATGTGCCTCCATAAAAATGAACATAGTGTAATGCCAGCACTATAACTCCATGTGAGTACACTTAAAAGTACTACAACCAAGCAAAAGGACATATTGTTAACCCTAACCAGAATTCTAAACACTCTTCTCTTAGGTTGGTTTAATCTAAACTAAAAAATATTACTACTGCATGCTTTAAAGGAAATCTGAAAGGAAAAAGCTTTTGTCAGTGAAAGGTAGGGTTGTGACCAGCAAACCAGCTGTAACAATAAATGAAAGAAATACATTTTTGTCTCAGCAATAATATGCTTCAAATGTGCAGTTATACTGGATACCTGCAGTTTGCTGGTATTAAAGAAGGGTGGCCTCTGACCCTCTGCTTCATAATTCACCACAAGCATGCAGGTATCCAGTGTAAGTGGCCATCATTTCACATGGTATTACTCACTTGCAAGTATAAATCACCACAGCTGGCCCTGCGTCCCTGCCTGGGCCTGGGTACCCAGCTAAGCGGGAGAGTGGGCTGGATGAGACAGTACCCTTTGCTTTCCTGAGGGCTGGAGTTTTCCGGGAGATCACAGCCACCCTTGTACCTCAGCTGCCTCATCAACAAGCTGGTATCAACCTCCTTTTTCAAAATTAATAGCAGTTTCTCGCAGGTAGCCTAACTCGAGGCAGACTTGGCGGCAGAACAAAACACAGATACATTTTCTCCTCGGGTGCTCTGTATTTATATGATTATTTATTCTAAATGCTCGTTTCAAGGGAGTGAGACCAAGCTCAGCCTGCTGCCCCAGGAGCCGGATGGCCGCCCAGGGGTGCCGAGTCGCCGCCAACTGATGGAGATCCGCGGTCGGCACTGAGTTCCGGGCGCTCGACCCCCTCCCTTCAAGGGCTTTCCCCCCCATCGTTCTTCTTGCCGTTCCCCTAGCTGGGCTCCGAGCTCCTTCGCCGCGGGGGAGACGAAGAGAAGCCCTTGCCCCGCTCCCGCACCGGCCCAAGACGCGCCGCGGGGTCCGAGACTCCGCTCGAGGGTCAGACACACCCCGCGCCGGCTCCTCGGGGGAAGATGTTGTGCAAGGGCCGCCTGGGCACCCTGGCGTGGGTCAGGGCTGCCGTCCCGCTTATGGAGCAGCTTTTGGGTTATTTTTAAGGGGCGGGTGGGGGGCGGGTTGAGGGAGGTGGGCTTTATTTTCCCTGCCTTCTGCTGAAGGTATGAATGAATTGAATTTCTGTGTCAGGTATGAGAAGGGTAGGAGAATATTGTGTGTAGATAAACCTTGCCACCCTCTGCCCCTGAGAGACCCCCATATACAATGTAGAGATGATGAATAGGCTCTGGGAGAGGAGATCGAAGTTCAGTCCGCACCGGCTCCACTCTCTCCTACAAAACTATAGGGCAATTAATTGTGGCTTGTCCCCTCATCCTTCATCTCCTGGTGGCACATATCGATGGAGATTACTGCTGATGGACCATTTTATCACCCTAAATAAACAGTCACCACCTTCTCTAACCTCAATCTAATGTATGGCTATCTGCTATGTTTAAGGGTTCTGGGTAACTAATGATGTAAAATAGCTAAATCATACAGGTTACCAGCAGCCTAGAGGGGAAAAAAAAATCCAAATATTTTCCACACCAATCCACTTCACAGCATGTTATATATACACTGTCTCCCCGTAAATTGAATGGGAAGAGGCGTGCAAAGTGCTTGGTCGCGTGACACTTCAGTTTTACGCAGCGTATTTATTATAGTGGCAGGCTGGTGCTTTCTGGAGAAGGTAGAGGAGTCTCAGACTTCTCATTGAGAAAGCCTCTCTTCAGCAGCTAGGGGCAAGCCTCCATGGGTCCAAGCCGCAGCCCCCAGACTCATCCTAGGAGCTCTCCTCCTGGCCTCCCAAAACGCCCCTCCCCCAACGCCCAGAAATACCCTCATCCTTCAGATTCAAGGCTGGGAAGCAAACGGTCCCCAGTCGCCTGCCACATTATCAGGGCTTTAACATAATCCCTTTTACTTCCCTGGGAGTAAAGACTGGAGGGTCCTAATTAGGGGTTTGTCTCTTGATTGTTTTTTATTTTTTTTTCCCCCTAGCTACCCCCCTTTCAATTTTAAGCAATTAAACACAGACGCTTAATCCGCAGCTCCGTGGCGGCCCTCGGCCCCCTCCTTCGCCCCAGACCGTGCCATACGCACTGGTATTTGACGATCAAGGCGTGTGTCTATGGGGAAGCCGCCGCCCATCCATCTTCCCGCGGCAGTCTCCCGGCGCCGGGCCGGGCGCTGCGGAGCGGGGCCGGGCAGGGTGGCAGGGGCCGGCCGAGCCGCCGCCGCCGCTCGGGCTTCCCTGGCGGGCCCCGCCGCCTCCCGCTGCCCCGCTGGGCCGGGCCGGCCGCACGGAGAGCGCCCGGCGGCACACAGGGAGCTCGCCGGCGCTTCTTCAGAGAGAACGGGTCCTCTCGGGAGACCTGGGGGACGCGGGGTGCCGCCTAGAAGAAGGAGATGCTCGTGGTGGGGGGAGGAGAAATGCTTGGAAAAGTAGGGGAAACGAGGCGCTCGCTCGCTTGGCTAGCATCTAAGATCAGAACCCAGGAAGAAGCCGGGGAGCTGCCGACATCCCCAGTGCGCGGGCTAGGCCCGGCAGGCGCCCCCGCTCTGGGGAGGGTGTCAGTCCCGGCGCTGGGGGTCTGTGCCAGGCTGGGCAGAGCCCGCGCGTCTCAGAGTCTCGGTAGGGCTGTCCTGAGATGGAAGTGCAGCAAGCAAGTACAACTCAAACTAAAGTCGACGGCTCCTGACCTCGCCCACAGCTTCCCACCTCTTTTCCCTCAAACGGGTACCCCTGATGCGTAAAGGGGAATGAGGCTGGAAGTCAAGACGCCTGGAAATCCTGCCTGCCCATGGACTCGGGTAGCCGGGCAGCCAGGCTCGTGCCCTGCAGCTTGTTCCCCTGATCGTCCGAGTGCGTGGACTGTGTGGCACGGTAGTGGATGCACTTCCCGCACTCCTTCTTCATATTTTTTTTTTTTTTTAACAGGAAGAGTTGCCCATAGCAAATGCACCTGGCCTCAGAAAGCTGAAACACTCACGTTAAAAGTTTTGCTCAAGTAATGACCACTTGAGCGAAAGTCGCCCTGTAAACAAGTTTAAAGAAAAAAAAAAAAAAAAAAAAAAAGCTCAACACAGCCCTGGCTGCCCCCTGCCCATTCTTTCGAAGACGAGGGCTATCCCGTGCCAGCCGAGCGCCACACACAAGCGTCCTTTCTGAAATCAACCCGTTTGCTTTCCCGAATTCCCCTTTAGAATCGTGGTTGGGAAGAAAATATTCAGGCTTCGCCTGCGACTCTGCGGGGTGCTATTATTCAACTCAACCCTTAAAAATGCTCCCCACAAATTCTTTTTTTAATCTTCCTTTCTCATTTTAAAATCTTTGTCTTTTAGATTTACGGAGCTGCTCCGAGAAGTAAAACGGGTATTGTCTGAACGGTTCAGTTGGCGATTAGAAGTGCATTTCGGATTACATTTACTGCATGTAATTTATGAGATCACGTTTTCTGCACCCGAGAATAGAAATATACATGAACACGTTTCACTAGAGGGTAAAACTAAGCATAAGGAAGTCGCTTAAAATAAAGTCGACATCCAAAACAGGAAAATTTGCAATGTTAAGAAGGCGGGAAAAATCTCCACCAAACTCCGATTCAACTTTTCTCTTGAAAGTACGCCCAACTCCCAAGATTTTGCTAGCATCTACGCAGTTCAATTAACACACAACAGAGTTTCATGGAAACTTTCAAAACAAGCTCTGCATCCGAAATAAAATTAAACGAATCCGCGTTTTGCTTGGGCGTGTGTTTATGGATCGCTGGCTTGGGGATATCGTTTTTCTGTTCAACAGCCTTCCTTACATAGACATTTAGGGAGTGGGAGTTGAGAAGAACAACAAAAAATAAATAGTTTGAAGAAAACTTAGTATAAAGGAGAGTGTTTGAAGCAATGCAAAAAAAAAAAAAAAAAAAAAAAAAAAAAAAAAAAAAAAAAAAAAAAAAAAAAAAAAGTACACTCGCCGAAGCCATGGTGCACTGTTATAACAACGGCAGATCCGTGTGCTCTGGATGTTAGTAATAAAACTGTTGAGCTATTAGGAGTTCATATAGTTCTTTTCACCCCGTGAATTTCCTCAGTTGCGTAGGATTGACAGATACAGGAACAAAGGAGAGACAGATTCTAAAATGACAAACCTCTCATTGATACACATGTTTAATAATAGGGGCATCCCCTTCCCTCCCAAAAAAACAAAACCAAAACAAAAAACCTCCCAACTGTATAATTGGCAACAGCAACCTTATTAAGCACCTTCTATCCACCAAGTCCTAAATGATTTCTGACATTCATGCAGACTTTTTCGTCTAGAAATCAGTTTTTCTTATTAAGTGCCCATGTCATGCATTTCGGTAAAGGTGAAAACTAAAACCAGTGACGTGTTAACGAGGTCTGAAAGGAAAACGATACTCATAGATAAGAAAGGAGGAAAACTTTGTCCTAGACCATGGGATGAAAACTGCAACTTTTGCCTGCCCAGCTCGGATGAGTAATTGATTTCTGAGTATTCAGCGAAGCCTGGGATTTCCAGGTAGAAACAAAGTGAGGTATTCAAGGCGAGAAAGGACCCCCTTTCTAGCAAGTTGGTCTGAACCATTTCTGAATCCATTTTCCTAAGCAGGCCTCCGAAAGAAATCAAACCCTACCACAGCCTTCCCGGTGAAGTGTGCCTTCCAGGGAAGGACCTGGGTCTCAGGCAAGAAAAACTGCTATCGAGGGGCTGCCGCCCGTCTCCTGAAAGCACTGGGAGCAACTCAAAGACAGCTCAGGGGAGACAAGGGCAGGGGGAGGATACTTCTCGTGAAGGGAGAGCGCTACAAGCACCAACTGCGGTCCCCCAGCCTGGAGCGTCCCTAGACCGGCCCGGTGAGGGGAAAGGGCGGAGGATGAGAGGTCGAGAAGTGCGAGAAGGTGCACGATACGTACGGTTGTTGGGGTCACTGGTGTGCTGATTCAAGGGGATGATCTCCATGCGCTGCTGACCGTACAGGTAGTAGTCCAGCTCCTCGGCCGTGCAGCGGTACCGAGCACGGTCGCCGCATTTGCCGCCGCCGCTGACGGTCGCGCACAAGTCCTTGCTCTGCAGGGGAGCGGGCGCTCCTGCGGCCGGGAGCTCCGAGCTCTGTAGCGAGCCGAAGACTGGGAGCTGGGTCACAGGCAGAGAGGTCAGGCCGGCCAGGGAAGCGGCCGCCGCGGCGACGCACGAGGAGGTGGAGGAGGAAGACGGAGTGGACGAGGAAGAGGAGGAGGAGACGGAGGAGAGGGAGGTCGGGCGCTGGCGGAGGCTATCAGCCGGGGGCTCGGCTCTTTCGGGCGGCTGAAGCTGGGCGAGGGCCCCGCTGCTTTTGAGCTGGCTGCTCTGAGGGAAGAGCTGCTGCCAGTGCTGCAGATAGGCGGGATCCACCTTCAGGAACGCGGATCCGCCGGGGTCTCCGGGCTTCAGCATCGCTCTGCCTGTGAAGCGGGGAGGAAGGAGATAGAAGACGTGAGACCCCCGCCTCGCCCCAGCAGGGCCTCCCCGATCCCGCGGCGCTTTCCACGCTCGGACACGCCGGGCCACTCGTGGGCTCTGCCCCGGCTGTGCAGGACCGGCGGCGGGACCGTACGCGCCCCACTTCCCCTGCCCGTGCCGGGCTCCTCAGGAGAAAATCTCGTCCCTAAGAGCCTCAGGGAGGACACGCGAGAAGTGTGGTGGCCGGGGCGACAAAACTGTCCCCCGTAGCGCGGGCAATGGCAGGCATCTCGTCACGCCGACCCCGCGGCCGGAGAGCCCCCGACCGCCCCGCAAGGAGCGCAGTTCACCGCGTCGCAGGCGCACGCACTCCTCCCCTTTGATGCCCTTCCCTCTCTTCGCGGGAGCAAACGACTCTCCGATGACAACAGGGAGGAGGATAAAGAGGACAAAAGTTCAGCTACACGCACACGCGCGCAGGTCTCCTCTCTCCGGCTGCTCCTGCTTTCTACACTGGCGTTTGGAGGCGGAGGACGAGGCCCGGCAGAGCCTTGTCCCGGGCGAAAAGTGCCCCGCTGTGCCTGGCCCCAGCCTGCCTTACCTGAGCTGGATGAGCGCTGCTGTGCAGGAGGAGGTATCGGCAGCCGCGGGAGCCTTCGAGCCGGAGGAGAACCGAAAGTAGAGACTTCTCTGGTCTTTGTCCACGGGGGAGTGGGGTGATCCTCTCTCAGGTGCCAGGGACCGGCGGGTCGGCTAGCTACGAGCCGCCGGGCTCCCTCTGCCGTGGCTGCGCATCGCAGTCGCGGCCGGGCGCTCGGCTCGGCTCTGGCAGGCTCCGGGCGAGACACGTGGGTTTTACGACAGCGCAAAATACAAGTGTGTGTGGTGTGCACGAGAGGGAGGGGAGGGATCGGGAAGTTACCAGTGAGCCTGGATACAGAGCCCTTTTTTTGGCAACTTCCCCCACTTTGTTCCTTGCTCAACTTTTAAAGGTGTCCCTTTCTTCCCTTCCCTCCTCCTTCCCTCCCTCCCCCTCACCCTTCTACCTTTCCCTCCCTCTCTCCTTCTCTACAGCCTCCCTCCCTCCTCTCTCTCTCTCTCTCTCTCTCTCTCTCTCTCTCTCTCTCTTTCAGCTTAACTCCGGGACCACAGCGCCCCGGGAAGAGTTGGGCTTTTATCCTGACAGGAGGGGAGCAATGCCTCGGCGCCTCCCAGAGCGGGATCCTTGCCTCCGCACCGTTCCCAGCGCCGGTCTGCGGGAGCTTCCGGCCCCTCCGGCCCAAGCGCCTCGCAGGCGGCCAGCCTCCCGTTCGTTAGCGGTGGTCTTTCCTTGCTTACCTTTCGCCCCTCGGGGGCTAGGGCCGATTTTAAAGACCTATTCACCCTGACTTGATACTGTCCCAGCCACTTTACTTAACGTGTCTGATGGGATGACCTGCCTCCCTTTCCCCTCTTCTACCTGAGACTAGTCCCAGGAGGTCCCAGCACATCTGAGGGAACCGCCCCAGAGTTTCTCCCTCCTCAGACGTCACACCCTCCAGCACCACTAGCACGTCTCTCTCCTACTCTTTGTACTCGGTTACAGCAGAGAGCAAGAAGTATAACAGAGGGAGATGCAACCTGTGGCAAGAAACTTCACATCTCGAAGGACTTTTTCTCTCCACTTTGCTTAGAAATTTGCTTACAAGTTTTCCGCTCTACTGTTCAATTGTTGAGCAGTCACGTATCAGTGAGTATTTAACAGGTTTGGGGTTTTTTTTCAGTTTCTTTCCTACACCATATGAAAAACCAGACGAGAGCTATGATCTATTACATATATCACATGTACATAGTATGCCTCTCATTTAGGACAAAATCCTTACTCAAAGTGTTTATCTCACCAAAACATCTTAGCCTCCATAGACAGGTGACACGGAATACTCAGCTCCCTACAAGCATAACGTCTGCGCGTGTAAACTGCCTTCACCATCCTTCCCTCCTCCTTCCCCCCCCCCCCCCCCCCCCCCCCCCCCCCCCCCCCCCCCCCCCCCCGCCCTGTTTCTAGTTTATTTCTTTCCCACCCTTCATTCTCGCAGAGCCTGGGAAAGCTGCTGCTGTTTAGACTTTGTCTGTCTGTCTAAGGCAGGACATTTTAACACAAATTTGAACAGGGTTGGGGCAAAAAATGTTTTGACTGGCGTCATTTTGACAAGGTCATCCGTCATCTGCTGTATAGATTGATAACACCTAAGCTAAAGGCAAACACGAATAGGAACACCCCCCGACCACCATTTTTATGGGTTATAAAGTTGGCTATAAAAACCTTCTTTATGTCTTTGATCAATTCCATCGTGCAACATGTAATAATTTTCATCCCTCTCTCTGTTAATCCACTTTCTGAAGTTTCGCTGTGCTACCGCTCAGCTGAGGGACAGAGGTACGGGCTGGGAGTCTGTTCGCACAGTGGCTGGAGTGTGCGCAGTGCGGTGCTGGGTACACTGACAGTGGGTGCGCTTAGTTTTCTCTCTTTTCACTGCATTAATACAGTGCCTCGTCCCTAGCCTCAAATTTTATTCCGCCCCATCTGACTATTTCAATTTTTTTTAATTTTTTTTTTTTTTTTAACATGCACATCTGCATTATGGTTGTATTCCTTACTGGACGCCTTTTAAAAATACCGAATTGCTTTTAGTGGCAGCAATCTCTAAAAATTCGTTTCGTGCTAGAAAAACGTGATGAAGTGGGGAAAAGCTCCTAACTAATGGGTTTAAGTACATTGTCAATATCCGCACTTGCCTCGAGTTGTTAGAAGTATTCCATGCGGGTTCATATTAGTAGGACTTTAATCTGTTGCTGTGGGTTTCTTTTTTTTTTTTTTTTTTTTTTTTACAAACAGCAAAGTAGCGCCTTGAGCGATCAAGGTGGGAGAATAAAATTCATAGGCTCCCTTGACACCTCGGGACCCTACCGAACCGGAGCAAAGGCAGAAAGAAAGAAATACAGGGCTCGCTGTCATCGCTGTTGCTCAGGGCCGTGCGGGCAGCGGGCGGCAGGGAGGGACCCCGGCCCGCGGCCCCGGCTCTGCCGCCGGTCCGGTCGGTCACTCGCTCAGGCGGGGGCGGCGGGGGCAGGCGGACACCGTAAGCCAAGCCTTGTCCTACGGCCTTTTTCGTTGACGACGAGCCCCCCCGCTGTGTCTGGTCCACTCGCCCCGGGGTGGGAGAGCAGGAGCGCTGCCGCCGGGAAGGTCGGCGTGCAGCGGGTCAGCGCCGGTGCCGAGCGGCGGGCGGGGAGAACAGCGCTCCCCGCACCGGGCCGGCGGGAAGGAGCGGCGTGCCTCACCGGGGCAGAGGACGGCTTCTCCCCCATCCTCTCCGACACATCGCCGCTCCCGGCCCCTTCACCCCCTCGGGAAGAGCAGAGTAGGCAGATCCACCAGCAGGGCTCCCAGCCCTGAACCTGCGACTCCCCGGGGTGTCTTTAGCCAGCCCTGACCTCTGGTCTCTCTTCCCAAGGCAGAGAGGTTTGTGCGCGTCCCTTCTGTCTCCGCCGAGTTTGTCTGCCGTCTGTTTATTACTATTTCTCCTCTGCGTTTTTTTTTCTTTTTTTTTTTTTTTTTTTTTTTTTAAATTATTTTATTTTTTCCTCCAGAATGTAGAGATGCAGGGTGGTAGGGGGAAAAAAAAGGAGGTTTCAACTACTGCCTGCTTCTTTCTCTTTTCTCTTCTCTTCTCTTCTCTCAGGCTTTTTCATTATTTAGAGGACGAGTGCTGAAACAAATCACATTGACCATTTAGAAAGCGATCAAACCTTTATAAAAATCCATCGCCTACAAATCGATTGGTGAATATTTGCTAGGAATTTGTTCAAAAGAAATAAATAAGGAGGGTAAGTGTACTAAATGCAAAGGGGGAACACGGTGGTGTTTTTCTTCATTGATTAATGACCTCTAAAATAAAACAAGCAAGAAGAGGAGCCAAGATCGATAAATTAACTACCCAAATTCATCATTTTCCCTACGATTGTTTCTTTTTCCCTTTCGGGTGTTTGGTCGGGTTTGAAGTTTTTCTTGGAATTTTTTTTTTTTTTTGGTTGCTTGGGTTTTGTTTTGTAAATAACACTTAAGAGAGATGCTCGTCTCTTTGGAAACTCGAAGGCTTTATTTTACGCTAGGAGTAGAAAAAGGAGCTAAACCCTCTTTAGAAAGGGATTGAATCGGGGACACCCTATCTGATTTCGTTTGACACACAATTAAAAAGTTTGCCTTTCATATTAATTAATTCTCCTGATCTGGGGAAGACAAATGGTCGGTTACCTCTGACAGGAGTCCGATAAAGGATTCAGCAGCTTTCCTTCTTGCCCTAGGCGTCTCCTCATTCCAGTTTTAAGGTCACGAGCGGCCGAGTTAATAATTCATTAATATAGACATTTATTCAGATGGGATTCACGGGGATTCGCGCTCTCCTACATCTCACCGTTCGGATTTCAGTTCCCCTCGAAGAGAAGAGGGGGAGGAGATGGGATGGAGGAAGGCTCTACACAATGGTCCTACACGGACCTCTTTCTACAAATGTGGTGCCCCGACCGAGGGCCCGCCCGGGGCAGCCCCGCTGGGCGCCGCTCCCCGGGCCCAAGTAGCGGCCAAGGGCCAGGCGGCCTGGTGGCACCGCCGCCTTCCGAGAGCTTCCCGAACTGAAGTCACGCATTTCCCTCCCCCTTCTCCTTCCCCGGAATCAGAAAGCGACCGAAGCGCAGCAAGAATCTGTGACAGACCCCGAAAAAGGCGCTGGCAGCGCGCTCCGGGGCCAGGCAGGGAGTGCGGGACAGGCGGGGCCGGGCAGGGGGTCCGTGGCGGGGGCGGCTGCCTTGGGTCGGTGCCGCGGGTCGTGCCGGGTGTCGCCGCCCGTCCCCGCCGCCCGTGGGCGGTGCAGAGCCGGGAGAGGCCCCCGGGGGGCGCCCTCGGCCCCGCCGGCTGGGCGGAGCGGGCGGGGCCGCGGCCGGGGCCGGGATGAGAC